AAACAAATTCGGGCCACAAAATAAGCGAAAAAACCCGTCAAAGCCCTGGGGGATAGCGGGGATCTCCCCTTTCAAGGCCATAACTTGTATAATGCATTTTCTAAAAAAATGACAGGAGGAAATGAAACCCTTTAAAAACTAGGGGGGCCAACCCCCGATGACACTTTCGGGTCACTTGTTCAAAATCTGGGCTGGAATATTGCTGCACACTAACAGACCTTTTAAGGAGGGTAAAATTGCGCCCTAGAAAATGTACAGGAACTTTCACGGCGCGCAAAACGGAGAAAAAACACCTAAATTACGGGGAGCGCTTGAGGTTCCTAAACCTTATCCCTGGAACGCAGGGGAGAGTTTACAGATTTTACACCGGAAAACCCTAAGGGACTATCCCGAACTTGCCCCAAAAAAACACTCCTACAAAGAAAAAGACTTGGAGACGATGCCCCCCCCCCAATGAAAGCAGGGGTCACTGCCGTTAAGAGCCCATAAAATAAGTGTCGGGGGCCCGAGATGTTCAACACCCCCCAGACACAAAGGGGGGAAAACCAAAAACCCCCCGGGCGTCTTCAAGCGGGGCACGGGACAAGCACCAAAAATCATTTTCCTGACGCCGGGCTGTGGCTCGTACTTTGGGTTTGCGTGCAGCCAGCAGCAACGCCGGGTTGATCAGGCTCTGATCCCCCAGGGGCCGGGTCACAGCCCGGGGCCGGGGGGGCTTTGCCCCCCGGAACTCTCTCCGGGGTAAACCCCAGGTATTAAAAAAAAAGCTTTAAACCCCTCAGGGTTACAACACGACAGTGGTGGGTCTACAAACTGCAGGTCAAAGAGGATAAAATGGGATCCAATTCCTGCTGTGATCCCCTGCAACATGGTAAGTGACCCTCTTAAAGGGGGCGTTCCTGAAGTTACCAGTAATCCCCGACTTGCCACAATTTCCGTGAAGGAGTCTGTCAATAAAAAAATTTCTCAAAAAAAGAAAGACATGGGGATGGTATTTGATAAGTGGGGGTTTTTTTTTTTTAAAAAATCGACGTCTCTCACCGGGCAGAGTACCCAAAATGAAAGAAAATCCCCAAAAAGAAAATCTTTCACTCCTTGGCCCTCTTTCTCTTTCTCCTAACATAAATGACCTTCCAAATCTTTGCAATTACCAAAACCCCACATATTTGCGATGACATACATACGTCTTCCCACCCCCCCCATCACGCTAGCCCAAAACTGTAAATACCAAATTTCAGAAAAAACTACCTGGATAGGCTAACAAACTTACACTAAACATTTACAAAACCACTTCATTCGTTTGGTACCCAAACTACAGATGTCCCCCTTAAATAATGATAAATGGATCACTATCACAAAAAAAACAGGGGAAAAAAATTTTTAGGAATCCACTTTATAAAGATCAAATTTCATACCAATACATCAAATTTTAAAAAAATTTCCAAGACTGTGATATATCGAAGATAGGTACTAGTTCCCCTCAGCCCTCCTGGCCTATACACCTCTATTTTTCCCCTATCTCACCCCATGGAAATTTTTTGCATGGGGGTCAACAACAATTAACCATCTCGGACCCAATTACCCAACAAAGGCTGCAGTTAGAAAGAAACAAATCTCACTCGGCACCACCCACCAAATTTAAAACATAAACCTACTCACCCTACAAAACATCCTACTTTTTTACTGCACCTATTACATACATAGAACACAACTCTGAATTAACCCTCCCTCAAACATCTCCTTTGCCAACCTCAAAAGAACACATGACCCTAACACGGCACGATCACTCTTTATGTTCCCTTTTCCCTCCACACAAAGCAAAAACTCAAGCCATAAAAGGGGCCCTAAAAACTGGAATTCATTACCGTAAATATAAAAAACACAACCTTTTATAAATTCAAGTCTCTTCTCAAAAATTACTTACTCACCCAAAACCAAATAAAAACGAAAAATGAAAATTATAAAATTTTAATCTTTAAAATTTTTTCACATTTTATCACATAAATGTTAAAACCCAAAACCCAAACTAACTTTTTTTATTTTTTAAAAAAAAACCCAACGAATCAACCCAATGATGCAAACCCTATACCCGTCTTTTTAATACTCACTTTGCTTTTTTATTATCTGTTTTTAAATTTTGTTTTATCACTGATTTTTTCATTGCTTATACACCGTAATCCTTTTGGCTTAGCGCTTCTTTTTTTATTATAATAATAATAAAAATCATTGCTTAGTTAATCTTTAAATTAAATTTTTTCCAGCCCGTAATGCATGCATAGTATATGGTTTTATATGCTCTTATCTGATTTTTTTTTTTACCTCGTTTTGGCACAAATTGGAAATAAAAAAAATAAATAAAAAATAAATAAATCATTCAAAAACTTTCACCTCACTCACAAAAATCACTGTCATTTCAGAGGGGGCCCAGACACAAAATTTAGAAGCATATTAAAGATATAAAAAATACCCCCCAAATTGCCAATATCCCAAACCCCCCTTTAAAATTTCAAGCCTGTACTTTTCCCATTTACAGTACTCTGTCCGGCTGTAATAAAAAAACTGGTTTTCGAATCCCTTCACAAAAAAAACCTGCTCACACTCCAAAGCTATCGGTCCCAAAAAAAATTGTCTCCGTTCACTCCATTGAAAACATTCACACACCTTGCTCGAAATCCAAGCCTCCGCCCAATAACCCCTTTACCCCCTCCCCCCACCCTTTTTAGGACGACCCCTCCCTGCCCCCCCCTTAAATTTTTATGCTCTCCAAATCATTCACTTTTTATCCCTTCTCTCTTTGACCAAGTCACCTCAACCACCTCCTAATTTCCCCATCCGAATTCTCTGCATAATATTTTCACCACACATTGCCCTTTTCCGACATCCTTGTAAAATTTGTGTGGACTGCCCCCCAAGTGAGTC